GATGTCATTTGTTTTCAATAATATTTCATTTAATAAAAATTAATTGGTATTCTGAAAATTTGGGGGGGGGGGGGGAGAAATAGGGCAGGAGGAAAAAGAGAAAGAATACATACTCAACACACCTCAAACTTCTAGAGGTGTTACCATTGCCTTCATGGTGAAAATAAAGATCTCTCAGAAATTCATGTCGTGTACCTAGAAGAAGGGAAGTTTCCTCTGTGCTCTTACACCATGTTTGTCCACACGGATTGTTTATGGTACCACGTTCTAGGAAAGAACTATCCTTTGAGCAGGACTGGCTTTTAAGTATTTTGAGGCAAGAACCAGGATTTATTTTAAATTAGCTTACCCTCTATATTACTTGATCCATAAGTTTATTATGATTAGTTAATGCATACGTGCTACATGAGTTACATATACTGTAATTATGTAAGAACACATTCTATTAATTCAAATTATTATTTGATTCCTTCGCCTTTTTTTAGGTTTTGAAAATAGTTGCAGTAATGGAGTGATATCAAACAAAGTTCATCAGTCATATTGTCACAGTAAACATCAGTCTACCAGTTTAAGTGTACCAGAACTAAACAATATAAATGTAACAAGATCACAACAGATCAACAACTATTCCAGGTAAATAAATATAATTCTGTCTAGTTCTATTCTTTTTCGCTCAGCTGTCGTGTTTTTTTTCTTGCTCTCCTTTATTGTACTCCTTTATTCCTCTCTTTTCTCGTTCTCCTCACCCTCACACCAGTATTCCTGTATCACACTGGTGAGATAGAAGTGGGCTGCCACTGAGAATTGGGATGATAGTAGCTTGGCATCAATTCCCATGTGTGTGTGTCAAGGACAACATATGATAATGTTAATAGGCTAAGTATCATGACAAGAGCTCCACCCCTCATCATGCATGGGTAGACTGCCTGCCTGCCAACTTCCAGATTGCAAAGGAGAGCAGCAAGAAAGCCCATGGCTTCATTTGAGCTCCCTAAAATTTAGAGCTAGGGCTATTTGGTATTTTTTTTATCACTTTTTAGGATTTTTCTACAATTCATTTAACACCCTGTTGAGCGGCAAGGTTTTTCATATTGATTCTCTTACCTTGGCACAGGGTAAGGAAAGAGCTGTCTTACCCTGGCAAAGGCTCTGTTGAAAGAGTCAAGAACTACAGGATGCTGGGAGTTGTAGCTCAGCAAAACCTGGAAGCAGCGGGTTCCCCAGCCATGGGGCTACATCGTCTGCTCAAAACAGAATTTAGCTGTATTGTGGATATATAGTAAAATAATGGTGGTTTCCTGCCACATTGAGGTTGTAGATTACAATGTGAATATTTATAAATAAGATCTAATTATAAAAACTATCCATAACTTTCTTCACAGCAACGATGTAGACATGGAAACAGACCACTACTCTAATGGAGTTGCAGAGACATCATCTAATGGTTTCTTAAATGGTAGTTCTAAACATGACCATGAAATGGAAGAATGTGACACAGAAATGGGTCTGCAATGAATTTTTTTATCTATCTACCTTTGCAACTATTGTTTTTTTTATTACTGTTATTTGAAATGATTTCCGAATGATAAGGATATTTAACTCTTGTGTCAGTTTATATGTTTAACATTATCGTAAAAATATTTTATGCAAAGTATACCTCATACATACAACATGATATCCCCCAGATATTTTGTCCCCTGGTGTTTTGTCCATATTCATACTGATGAGAACAGGTCCAAAATACCTGGAGGATACAGACCACCTTTCCCTAAGTACATATATACTAAGTATCTCAAATATTTGAATTAGCATTATTTTTGGTGGATACCTTACCTGTGTCAGTTCCATGGCTCAGCTAAGCTGCAGAGTACTGATGGAATCAGACTATTAAAATGGAGATAAGCTCCATTTGTGTTGTGTTTGATTAGGCAAGTGCTCAAAATGGAGAGTCGGATGTGCTTAGTAGTTTGATACTACTTGGTATGCTTCTTTGTGCCGTCATTTGATTCTTCCAGGCTGAAAAGCATGTCTTAGCATCAGCCACATAATTTTCTTGGCAAACGGCTGATGTGAAATGAAAAGGCACAGACCGAACGATGCTACAATACTCCCTCTACAAAAGTTTTAGGAAAAGAACCATTGCAGTCCACAGAACAAGATGTGAGGAAGGTTTTGTAGTTTTGGTGACTGCCTAAATTTTTGTATGCTTTGTCTTACTATTTGAGATATAGATGTGATATTCTGTAGAAATATTAGAAAATAATTCTGTGACTGATCAGTTGAATTTTCAGAGGTCAGAGTTGGGATATAGTACCATGTTTCCCTGAAAATAAGACAGGGTCTTATTTTCTTTTGACTCCCAAAATATTGATTGGGTCTTATTATCGGGGGGGGGTATTGTTTTGGGGTTGCCGGGTGGCTGCTCTCTTGCAAGCGGGCACCCGAAGAACCAGGCACAGCCTCAGGGGCAAACGGCTGTGTTGCGCTGTCGCAGCAGCGCAACATACCAGCCATGAGGTGACCACGCTCACGAGCAGCCACCCGGCAACCCCCCTTTCCAGCTGGGCAGAGCGCCACTCACGGACCAAGTGATATCCCAAAGGTGCTAAGCCGCATGGTGCTCTGCCCTCCCCCCAGCTCCTGCGGCTTGACGCATTCGGGATACCCTTAGGTCAGTGCATGATGCTCTGCCCGGCTGGAAAGGGAGGTTGTGCAAGCGCCTGTTCCATCCCCAGCTGGTGTGCCTCCCAACCTCACCATGCCCTGGCCCAGCTCTCCCTGCAGGGCCAGTGTGCCAGCGTTGCCACGGCGCTACGAGCATAACCTATTCTCCGGCTTCCAAACTTTGGAGATCCGCAGCCGAGTCTTTCGGCAGCGGCCTCTCTGGGAGTACGCTCTTTGGTTGTGGGCTGGCTGAGGCAGAGCGTACTCCCAGAGCGTACAACCATAGAGCGTATTCCCAGAGTAGCAACTTTCGGAAGACTCAGCATCCTGCCTCCGTGCTTTGGAAGCTGTAGAAAAAGCCATGTGGGTGGTGGCGGCAGCGGAGATGCCCTGGCTCTGCAGGGAGAGTTAGGCAAGGGCATCGTGAGGCTGGGAGGTGCACGAGTGGGGAGCAAAAAAACTGCTCGCACAACCCCCCCTCTCTAGCCATGCAGAGCCCCATTCACTGACCTAGGGCATTCCGAAGACGCCAAGCCATGGGAGCTGGAGGGCGGCGAACAGGCGCTCATGCAGCTTGGCGATACCCCTAGGTTAGTGAATGCCGCTGTGCCTAGCTGGCTGCTCATGAGTGTGGTCACCTCATCGCTGCTGTGTAGTGCTGCTGCGTCAGTGCAACACAGCCTTTCGACCCTTAGGCTGTGCCCAGCTCTTCAGGAGCCGGCTCACAAGAGAGCAACCCCCTGGCAACCCCCCTCTCCAGTTGGGCACAGCACCGCTCACTGACCTAGCAGTATCCCGAAGGCACCAAGAAACACGAGCCTTTGCCCCCCCCCCCCCGTTCCTGTGGCTTGGTGCCTTCAGGATACTGCTAGGTCAGTGAGCGGTGCTGTGCCCAACTGGAGAGGGGGGTTGCCAGGGGGTTGCTCTCTTGTGAGCCGGCTCCTGAAGAGCTGGGCACAG